CCCTGAGTTAGATGGTCAAGGTACCACTAGTTTGAGAAAATAACGTTAAAATGCTTAAATTTTAAGATATAACTTTAGAAATAGTTTTTCCCTTGCTAGTTTAAAAATGTTGCATTCAAATCAGTTAGTTATCTTTCCTCTCTCCCTTCTTTGAACAAATGTTCCTAGAGCAACTATTCTGGCCCAGGTTCTATGGCAGGTGCTGGAGATAAGTGAGCCCCTGCCCATAGAAGCTCACAGCCAGGGCTTCTGAGCTCATTTCTCAATTTCAAATACATTATTCTCCTAAATTTTCACTGTACTATATGAACTTTAAATTCCTTTTTCTTAAATATCTAAGGCAATGGTTCTTAGAAGAAATGTAATCCAAAGAACCCGGGTTGCTGTTTGAAATTGCAGATTTCTGAGTCTCCGTCCAATCAATCCCAAATAATTCGAAGGCAGTTACATCAGCCTGGGTAGTAGCCCATAAGCTAAGTCTAGTTAGCAGTTTCAGAACAAATTTTTAAATAACTGTTAAAATATTTTTCTATTCATAAAGAATACATATTTATTGCCAGAATTAAACCCGTACAGGCACATCTGCTTCAACTTGGCTGGGGATAAAATTATGAGTCCCCATGGTTGCTTCATTTCCCCCCCCCCCCACTTCCTGAAATAAGAAAGAGAGTGGAGTTTGTAGCCAGAACAGACTTGGACTAAAATCTGTCTCTAACTGTCATTAGCTCTATCCCCTTGGGTACCTTTTTATCCCTGATTCATCTATTCCCCTAAAGAAACGTGCATTGAATGACTTCTCTGTGCCAGGTGTTCCCTGAGTACAGGGTACAACGATGAATAAGAGACAGTCTCTTAACTTCTGCAATCTACACTCCAGTGTGAACACAGCCAGGGAGTGTACTGATGGGAAGGGCAAGACATATTTGGAGAGTGCAGAGAAGACCCCTATCTGGTCTTAGGGGATTTAGATAGCTTCCTGGAGAGGTAACCCTCAAGATAAGTCTTTTAAAATGAGTAAATGTCAACCAGTTAAGGGAGGTGGGGTTGCAGGGAAGGGGGCTTTTCAGGCATGGCGGCTGCAGGAGCAAAGACACAAGGAGGGAAAGCACAGGAACCACGAGGAAAGCTGGGACTTGAACCCAGGCTTGTCTGGTTCCAAAGCCTGAGGACGTCCCTCTGTGCAGGGAGCTTCAGAACTTTGGCTCTACACCAGCACGCCTCAGAGCTTACACAAGGTGCTAGTCCAAAGTCATTAGCTAGGTAGACAATAAATAGTTACTTTGCAGATAGATATCAATAGTATATATGTAGAATTGTAGAATAGAATATGTAGTTACTTTATGTATATGTATGTTTATAGAAATTATTTTTAAGGAAATAAAAATTCCCACACTCTTGCAAATATACTAGATGCCAAATATTGCGCATCACAGACTAATGCAGAAATGTATCACCAGGTTAACTTCTTTCCTCATAGACCTTGGAATAAACCTTCTACTCTTCTTTTGTATAATTTTAATTGTAGAATTTATTAGAATTTATTTTCTTGACATAGGGCCTTCGTGTCCACGTTATTTCTATTTCTATTACAGCAGTCAAGGTTGAGAAACACTACTTTAACACACTGCATTGTGAAAATATTGACCAATAAACAAATTTCAGAGCTTTTCATCACAGTTAATGCTTATCTGACTGGTATATTTATGAAGAGGAAAGTTTGCCATTGATAAGCCATTGTGAGTGGCTGAATTTAAGCTTCTAAATCACTTTAATTGATAAATATGCTGAGAACTTTTAATTTGTGTGATTTCTTCCTCCTGAAAAAAATCAAAGGCTAAAACAAATTAGATGCTGAGGTTGTTATGACTTTACAGTAGAACTAGCCTCAGTGGAACACTCTAACCAAATTAGAATGTTGGAGCAACATAAATTGACTGGGAGCTTAGAGGCTTGGGAAAGAGGTTTTAGGAGAAGGAGGAATGTGGGACAGAAGGTCAGGACCTGGCAAAGACAAATTTACTTTCTCTGAATACCTGTTTACAGTTGACCATGTGCTCAATGACCTGTGTTGAAACACTTTGGGAAATGCACATATACTTTATCTTTAAAAAAAAAATCTTCAGTCTGATTCTTACATCACCTAGCTTATTTGAGTGCAACATTCAAAGTATCTCTCTGAATAATTCTTTCTTTGGTACACTATATAGTCTGCTAAATTTCAAAATATAAATCATTCTTTAAACACTTAAGTTAACGTTCACACTCTGGTTGACAATGTACAATTAACCAAACTGATTCACCAGAATCCACCAATTTACAGCAGTTTATATGGTTTGCTTTACTTTTTTGGCCAAAATTATTTATGACTCTCCAAAGATTGAATTATTGACTTCAATAACCAAGCTGATGGAACTTCCATTTCACTGATCTCTTAAGATGGCAATATTATTATTATAAAAAAATCAGTTCCAACAAGCTCCTTGCTAATACATTTATTTTTATCTCTTCTTGAGTGGAAACTTATATGAATACTTCTCTTTGAGAGGACAGTGGAATATGAGACTGCTTCAAATGAATGTTGTCTGGACTAGGAAAGGAGAGTCATGTCGTGTTGTTGCAATTGCTTTTTTGGTGTTTAGTGTAATATTGTATGTCAAGTTAAAGTTCTTTTCGTGCATGCAACCAAAAACTACTCCTACAGAGAATTCATTAGAAGACTATCTGGGACTCATGGAATCCATAAGAGAATGGATAAGTCAGTTTGGAAATGAATACTTGGGTATCTCTGGAGTCTGGGAAGCAAGAATTCCAACAACACCAAGAGCAGTCAGGTCACAATCTTACCACATGGATACGATGAAAACCCACAGTTTTCATTTGTTTGTTTTCTGCTAAAAATCACTGTCTTTTTCCCTTCATTTAAGATTCAATTTCCAAAGAAAGACCTTCTGAAAGTTTTAGTGTAGGTTATCCACCCATCTGTTTAGTTAAGGGGAAAGGCAGAAAGCCAGTCTCTTCATTACAGTCCCAACAGTTTATCCCTAGTTGGGATGGGAAAGTTCTCAAAAGCTAATTGGATTCCAGTTGGGAAATGGATTCTGGGCAACCAAAAGACCAAAATACCTTCTGCATGAGGGAATGGTAGCTAGAATAAAGCTGGGAATAGGGAAAGACAAAGTTGTTTCTTCTTGTTTTGCTGAGAGGATGGGTTATGGGTTGTCTTTTATTATGAGTATTAAAAACAGAGGTTTCAAAGAGAAATAGTCTATAGGGGATTTAGTACTAAGTAAAAAAGGTAGAATTATCTGAGTCATGAACTTGTCCCGAGAAAAATGTGGGCTCAATATTAAAACCTGAATAGTAATTTAAAATAGATATGACAAGGATGACTCTTATCAACACTATCAATATCAATATTGCTCTAGAAATTCTGACTAATGAAGTATGCAAAGAATGTAAAGAAGAATAATTATTGGAAAGGAGATAAAATTTAGCATTATTTGAGGATAATATGACTATAGAATGAAAACCCAAACAGGTCAACTAAAAAACTAAAATAAATTTTACTGTACACCAGCAATAATAATTACATAGAAAATATAATGACCTAAAAGAGATATATTCATAATAGGCAAAGCACACACACACATACACACACACACAAAAGTACAAAACATCTAAGAATGTGTGGGAGCAAATGAAGAAAACCACAGAAACTTGCTCTAAGGTACAGAAAACTGTCTAAATGCTTTTGTTCTTTTTAAAAATTTAACAAAATGGTTTCACAAGTAGAAAAAGCCAAGGTGTATTTTGAAACTAGGAGTGATTAGGGGCAACTTGTCTTACCATGTACTAAATGAAAAGGTTTTAAAAATGTTTTTAAAATCTACTAGAACAAAAATCTAGTCAGTTCAATGGAACTAAATATACAGTCCTGAAACAGACTCTAAAAGGCGGAAGGGTTTGTGAACAGAAATGTATATACAGGAACATGCATTTTAGTTTCATTTAAAATTAGCTGCCTTACCCTAACTTACCCATGAGCATAAGTCACAGTTATTAAATAGATAAATTCAAATCCCTGGTGCTACCCAACGTAATAAAAACGACATGAAGTCTGGATGAGAAACAGCTCAACTGCAAATGGGTACTTATGATTAAGAATGTTGGCCCACTTCTATAAGATCTTACTTGAAACCACTATTTTTCCTTTTTTCTTTTGTATATGACACCTTAATAGACATGGCATACTCTGTGTCCGATTATACCTCTTCTTATCCTTCAGGTTTAGCTGCTTTGATGGATAGCTGCTTCTCTTTCAGTGTAGCCTGGAGCCCAACAAGTGAATTTGTTTTATTTCATATGGCTTGTGTTTTGAGTCCTACCACACCAGCCACGACCTTGAAATATGGTGAAATCTTCCAGACATTTTCATGAGCTTCAGTAACAGGTAACAGGAATTAATTTCTATTGTTTGAAAAAAAGGAATCAAAATGAACTAAGTGGTCAACAATGGGAAAACGGTTAAAAAAAAGTTTTGTGCATCCATGCAATGTAGCCTTATACAGTCACCAAAAATTAAGTTTTTAAGAAGCGGTACGCGGGCCTCTCACTGTTGTGGCCTCTCCCGTTGCGGAGCACAGGCTCCGGACGCGCAGGCCCAGTGGCCATGGCTCACGGACCCAGCCGCTCTGCGGCATGTGGGATCTTCCCGGACCGGGGCACAAACCCTGTCCCCTGCATCGGCAGGCGGACTCTCAACCACTGCGCCACCAGGGAATCCCCAAGTTTTTAAGGATTTTGAATGATATGGTTCTTTCAGGAAGTAAGCTCTGAGTGATATTTTAATTTCATTTTGTTTCTATGTGATATATTATTTTTATTTTTTACTTTATTTTCTAAATTTCCTACAAGTATGAAAATCAGAAAAAAACATATTTTTAAAATATAAAAATTGAGATTTAAGAATTAGAATATATAAATAAGAATTAATGATAAATAGCAAATTATGTGTAAACAATTACTTAATAGTAACATTTAATGTATACTTTCAGTTGATTTTACAAAAAGGCATATATATTCAAGCAAAGGAATGACAAATCTCTTCTAATTTGCATCCCCAAATGTAGTCTCTTAGTTTCCACCACTGAACAACTGAGTAAGGTACCACTGTCAATTTCATGGCAGTTCATGTAAGGGCAGGAGAAGTTCTTTAAAATACAAGTCCCTAAATTCTGGGCTTGTAAAGCTTCAATATGTATAATAAGAATGGCAAATAGGAAGCAAGATATAAGCATCATATCTAACTACACAATCTTTGCCCCTAATACTTGATAAAAGCCCCTGTAGCTGGTGCATGTGGTTGCTATTATGTTGTGTTCATAAATATGATCACCAACTGTTGGCCAAACAGTAAAGTCTAATAATTCTATGGATTTAATTCTAAAAATAATTTACATCTAGATGAATCTTTTTGGAAAATTTTACCAAATAGAATCATCTTCAGTGCTCTTCTGAACCAGGGATAGAAAAATGCATAAACCATTGGATTTAAAGTGGAATTCAAGTAGCCAAACCAAATCAATGCATCGTTCAGGATGGGTGGAATAGTATAGTCCAGGAAAGGATCCATGACTGTGCAGACAAAGAAAGGACACCAGCATGTGAAGAAAACTCCCATCACAGTCCCTAAAGTCTTCGTAGCTTTCCTTTCTTTGCTTCGTGAAATTCCATTTTTCTCTTCCAACCCAATTCGAAATTTCTGATTTGCATCATGAATTGATCTTGCCTGCCCTTTCGCTATGAAATAGATTCTACAATAGATGCATATCATAATAGAGCCGGGTATATAGAAAGAAGTCAGAAAGGCCAGAACCCCAGATGTTTTGCTGAAGAAGACAGAGCAACTCCCTATGCAGTGAATGTGTTTGTAATACATCTCTTCAGCTCCTTTGAAGTTTAGCTCCAGAAAGATCATTCCAAATGCAAAAAGAGCAGGAATACTCCAACTAATGAAGATCATCGCAAAAATAACCAAGATGTTGATCTTAGTTTTGTATCTCAATGGGTCACACACAGCATAGTAGCGGTCAATGGAAATGAAGGACAAATGAAAAATTGATGCTGAGCTCAGCATAATATCAGTGCTGGTGTGAATTTTACAGAAGACTTCTCCAAAATACCAGCAGCGCTCAACAGATCTCACCATACTATAAGGCATGACCAGACACCCCAGCAGAAAGTCCACAGTGGCCATGGAATGAATGAGCCAATTAGTTGGGGTATGAAGTTGCTTGAAGTGTGATATAGAAATAATAACTATTAGATTGCCAACCACTGTGGTTAGAATTATGAGCACCATTAAACTGTACAGGGAAGCACGGACGTCATTTGACCAGCTGCTTTTCACACAGGAGATATTAATTATATTGTGGCAAAAGGACATCATTCCTGAGGGCTCTGCACTAGTTATTATCTTTTCCTTTGTGCGTTGAGAAGTCTTTCTTCGAAATCCATGATCAGGTTAGAGTTCCTTCTTTTATTTCCATATATGTATCCCAGAAACCTGGGAGGATAAAAGAAAGGAAATCATCAGCAATTTGATTCTTCTCACTTTTAACACATTTACCTATTACTTCTTGCTGAAAAATGATTATTTTGGGAAGAGCTTTTATTTCCAAGTTTAGTTCAGTAGTTCAGTTCTACAATTATTATTATTATATATATATATATTGTGGTACGCGGGCCTCTCACTGTTGTGGCCTCTCCCGTTGCGGAGCACAGGCTCCGGACGCGCAGGCTCAGCGGCCATGGCTCATGGGCCCAGCCGCTCCGTGGCATGTGGGATCTTCCCGGACCGGGGCACGAACCCGTGTCCCCTGCATCGGCAGGCGGACTCTCAACCACTGCGCCACCAGGGAAGCCCCTGCAATTATTTTTAACATCTACTTGATGCTGCTCACTGTGCTGGAAATGCAAAGTTGAATTATTCGTTTGAAATATATGATTCTGTAATACTCAGCTAAATTCTCGAATTTGCAATACATTTTTCAATACACGTACAATACATATTATGTGTAATATATAATACGTTATATAATTATGTATTATAAATATAAAAAGAGGGGGAGAGAGAGAGTTTGGAGGAAGAATGTAAATTCTGGCTATCAATGAACAACCTGTCACTATATTGTGAAGATGCTGGAAAATAACAACAAGTCTTAGAATTCCAGGAGTCCACCCTCCTCTTTGGCTCTTATTCCCTCTGGGCTGACAGTTTAGGTCAAGACCACATAGAAATCGAAACTTATCCAACATTAGAATTGGAGGAATAAGATATTTAGGAACTAAAATGCATATTTTAGTAAATTTGAAGTATCTCTCCCCCTAATCCCTTTCTGCCTTCTCTTCTCAGGAGGAAACATATTCATATCAAGTACATCGGTAACATTTATTTCAATAAACACCCAGGCCCACTTTATGACAGAACAAATTGCAGACGAAATCTATTTATATTATCTGAGCTCTGTAATATTTGAATTATAATTAAAATTTTGCTAAAAGAACGATGGAGTTTTTACTATGAAATTTGTGTTCACTCAACTAAACTATCATTTAGAGTTTTAAATCTTCTACGCGGACTTTTTTTTTTTTTCTATTTCCCCCCTTTTCTTCTTTCTCTTACTTTTGCTGTTGACATTAAAGGAACCAAGCAACACACCTGTAATCAGTGTTTAGAACTGTTTGCTAATAATTACTACCAGTCAAGAAAACATTCCTACCTGATATTACATTGAGTAGCTTTACTCAGTGGGAACTAGGGTCCAAAAATAAGTAAGGGAAGATGAAAAGGGGAAAAAAACTGGTTGTTCAGTTTTAGAAGACTACCTTCATAGATGATGAAATCTGACAACTTTGTATGCCATGTTCTTCATTCCCAGTAAAAACCAAATGGCTTCCTCCTCATAATGGTAACATCCTGGTTTTAGAGAACTAGAGCCTGAAGCATGGTATCTGGGAAATTATTGATAATACCAATGACATTTCAGAAGAGTAAGTGTCTGACCAACTTTAAGAACATTACACATAATTTTTGTGCAAGTATTTTTTGTTATAATTTATTTTTAAATAGATTGACTTGTTTAAATAAATTCCCTATGATGATACTGAGTTGAGTGCTTACCTAAAAACATGACATAATAGTGTTTTTGTTTCTTTTCTTCCAGCTCTAAAAATTTAGCTAGCTAGAAATGATTACTCTCTGTATGTAAAAATTACCAAGTTGGGGCTTCCCTGGTGGCGCAGTGGTTGAGAGACCGCCTGCCGATGCAGGGGACACGGGTTCGTGCCCGGGTCCGGGAAGATCCCACATGCCGCGGAGCAGCTGGGCCCGTGAGCCGTGGCTGCTGAGCCTGCGCGTCTGGAGCCTGGGCTCCGCAACGGGAGAGGCCACAACAGTGAGAGGTCTGTGTACCGCAAAAAAAAAAAAAAAAAAAAAAAAATTACCAAGTTGAACATACAGTAGTAATAAGGAAAGTTAATAAATCTCTCTTTAATTACCTAGCTAAGCAAACAGTTCTGTGCAAATGATCTAATCACCTAATGTTTGAAAATGACGTACGATTTAAAAATATGTTGGTAAGCATTATAGTTTAAAGTAGATCTGTCTAGCAGGACAGGAACTCACTGGTTGAGTGGCCCCAACTTCCCAATAATGGGCCATCAGCGCTAAGTTCACCATGCCCTTTGTCTCTGGCTCCTTCAACCACCCATCTCTAATGGTTCAGACTGTCAATCCCAAACTTTTCTATACAATTCCTAATGTGAACCCATCTCCCAATCTACCTAGCCGTTACCCGCCTTCCCCAAAACCATTCCAAGTGTGCCCTCCAGAACTCATGGTCATCACCCTACTTCCTCAAGCTCTTTATTAAATGCTTCCCTCTCTTTGTTCTAACTAAAACCATCTTTCCCCTGAGGGTATCTCATCCCCTACAGACTTGTCAAAGGCAGCTGTTTTCTCACCTGTATCCCTAGCTACCCTTTATATTACAGGACTTGGAGGAAAACTAAGGATCCTCTTGTACTCATTGACATTGCGGATACATTTCCGTCTTTCCTTCCTAACCTCCACCCCTTGCAAACTCTGAAGTTCTGTGTTCAAACTATACCTCTTCTTGCTTCCAAGTCATGTCTCTCTGTCTTGAAGATGTTAACTCCTAGTCTACCGTCACTTTCTCCAAGGCTACTCCTGCCAAAATTCTTGATAATTTTCTTGTCCACATAAATGATCCAATAATGGGCTTTCAGCTCTTTAACCCTCTGCCTTCCAACAAGCATGTCCTCCACTCCATATCATCTCACACTTTCATAGCCATTATCAATAATGAAGCCATTCCAAATGATTAATTTCAAGTTCCACCCTTTGTCTTCCCAGCCCATGCCACTAATGCTCTACTTCCAACATTTGTTCAACCTGCTTGAAGCCCATAGTTCATTTATCTTATCATCTTTTCACTGTTCCTCATTTACTTACACTCACCTCTTTACCTAGTGTAGATTCCAAAATTTTTTAACATTATTTTAAACTCTCTCCCATTAATACACTTTTCTGGCTAAACTTGACCCCTTGTTAAATCGAGTTTGCCTCTTACTGTACTACACATGTGCAACTGAACATGATGGAGAAAAAACACACAATTGGCCTCAGATTAAATTCATGACAGGTATGAACCATTCGAACTGCTCAAGAATCCTACCCAGTTCCATGTTACATTCATTCTCCCACTCTTCGAGATGATTATTTCATACCACCTCCCTCCTTCAATCTCAAATACTTTCCTCATCCTCATTCTCAGTTAATGACCTTGTATCTTGTTTCACTGAGAAAATAGATGCAATCAGAAGAGAATGTCCATATTCCCACCTCTACCCCTACACCAGCTTACGTCTGTTCATATACTCAACCTTCCCTCTTATTACTACAAATGAACTAACCATCTCCCATCAGAGCCGCCCCTTCATATGTGTCCTATAGGCACCCTTTCATGCCTGTTCAAGAATATACTCTCCAATTCTCCTCTATCCCCTGAATCTTTAGGAGTTCTCTTCTAAATAATTAACTCTAGTGTTCAAAAAATGTAGTAATATTCCATCTTAAAAAGAATTATTTTAAACCCACATCTTTCAATTATCACCTTATTTCTCCCCTTTATGAAAAAAGAAAACATCTTTGAAAGAGTCATGTAGACTCCTTGTCTTCAGTTATTCTCTTCCTAGCCTTTTGAATCCACTCTAATGAGACTTTTGTCATTAACACTTCACCAAAACAATCTTAACCATATTGTTCTATATTACTAAACCCAATGGTAAACTCTCAGTCTTCATCTTGATGACCCCTCAGTTACTTCTTGAAACAATTTCTTCCTTGGCTCCAACTCACCTCCCTCTTGGAGCTCTGTTAACTCACTAGCTCTTCTTTATAGTCTCATTACTGGTTCTTCCTCAAGTCACCGGCCCTAAGGCTAGTCCTTGGTTCTCTTCTCTATTTACAGCTTCTCCCTAGGTTATTTCTTATAGTCTCATGACTTTAAAAAAAAGTCTCAAATGAATATCTCTAGCCTTAACTTCCCCCCTGAACTCTGAACTAAAATTTCCTGCTGCCTGGAGAATATCACCACTTATCACGTCTAAAGCCAAGTCTCTAATCTCCCCCATAATATGTGTTAAACTCCTCTTCCTCCCTAACGTCTAGAAATGGCAACTCCATTCTTGAAAATCTTCAGTCCCAAACACTGAAGTAATTCTTTAATTCTCTCTCTCACACTCAACAATATAGCCAACCCTTCAGTAAATACCTTGACTCTTCATTGAAAGTATGTCCAGAATCAGACCATTTCTCACCAATTGTACCATAGCCATAAACTTATCACTAACCACTGACAAATTAGTAGCCTCCCAACTGGTTTCCTGGCTTCTCCTCCTTTTTTCCCCTTCCTTTTTGATTTACTTTTAGTGTCTTGACTTAACATATAGCTTCTAAGCCAAGAAGGGGTGAATTGTTTCCCTCCTCACTACTCTTTCATAAAACATAAAGAATGTGAATGAATTCTGTGGAAGGTGTGGAGAGTATGTTCAATAGAAGATGTTGACAGAGGAGAAGATTACTCTGTTTACAACCAGGTGTGAGAATTCATTATAAAGCAAAAGGAAAGGAGGTCCACAGTGTCCTTTGAAAAAGGCAATCATGGAGTCAGGAGAGGAAAGTCATAGCCTTTTAAAAACCTAGCTGCAATCACTGGGGTCCAGGGGAATAGAACCTGGGAGAGGCAGAAGCTGTACAGGCTTAGATGAGGAATTCCGCAGCATGCCCAACCCTTACAGGAGAATGTCACCTGAGTTCCCAAGTGGTTTTACGGAGAAGTCAAGATCTCCTGCCCCTTACCACGAGGAAACGGGAAGCCCTTCAAGGAAATGCCAGTAGAATGGCTTGGAGTTGCAATAATGTAGAACCTTCCACCTGGTATAGGTACTTGTATGTCCTTACCCGAATGCACAAGCTAAATAGACATACAAAAGTAGTCCCCAAACAGAAA